GACTCAATGATCTCTGGAGGTCCCTTCCAACCCCTACAATTCTGTGATTCTCCCTTTGTTTCCCTGGTTCAGAAAGAAGGTCTGCTGATCACCACAGAATCACAGAATGACCAGGGTTGGAAGGGACCTCATGGATCACGAATCTCCAACCCCCTGCCACACGCAGGGCCACCAACCTCCACATTTCATACTAGACCAGCCTGCCCAGGGCCCCATCCAACCTGGCCTTGAACACCTCCAGGGATGGACGGGGCATTCACAGCCTCTCTGGGCAGCTGTTCCAGCACCTCACCACTCTCTCTGTCAAGAACTTCCCCCTGACATCCAACCTCAATCTTCCCTCCCTCAGCTTCAAACCATTTCCCCTTGTCCTGCTGTTATTCCTTTGGACAGCAGCAGAGAAGTTACCAAGCCCAGTAAGAACATCATACATTCACATAGCAGAAACTGGAGAGGAAGCAAATAAGTTCTCTATTGTTAAAAATTAACCAAGCTGATAAAAAACCCTCTAGCCTTTCTTCTCTGCTATACATACAGGTAACTTCACTTGCTAGCAAGAAGTGTTAGAAAACTCACCCTGGGGAAATGCCATAGCACTGCAGCTCCCTCATCTTGCCTCCCTTCTCTCTAACTCCACATTCACACTTTCACCTCCCCAGTTATTGAACAGCCACCATAATAAATAAATGCATCTTCTAAAGTATCTGAGATAGCTTTATTCTGACTATTCAGCTTTGTGACTTCTATGTTAACAGTATCTCCATAATCAGTACCGTACCTACGCGTGACCTCCCAAGCATGGTTAGTCTGCTACTCAGCTACCTAGATGGATGCCTTCCTTCCTGAATTCAGCCAAGAAGTTCTAGTTTCTCTGCCTTGAATATAAAGCTAAGCTAAACAACTGTCTCAGAGGAAGACGTTTACAGGACAGACAGCTGAAGCTCACTGAAACAAACACTGTGGGATCAAAACAGCAGAGCATCATAAATGCCTCAACAGTGCATTCAATGATAAATCACCTTTATTACCCACTCTGAAAATATTCCCCTAAAAGCAATAAAGTCACGTTATGTGCTCTTTGGGACAATCAGCCAAGCAAGAGCCATATGTCATCTTTTCCATGAAAGATGATAGATATAGTAGATTACTTGGTTTCGGGAAAATCAATGAATAAAAGCTCTTCATTCGCAGGGCTCTCAGTAGCCAAATGGCTGCTAATAGAGACAGCAAGGGAACGCTCTCCTGGATAGAAGTTCATTTGTCAGTTCAGAAAATTAATGTCTGACCTGAGTTTCAAGCAAGTGAGGAAGCAGTACTACTGTGAGATGATTATTTAACATAAACAAGATTATCTAAGTCAATGATCTAAGGGGAATGTATTTTATATAATGTACCTAATCTTATTTCCCAGAATTTAGCCAAGCAGTACTTACCAGAAGTCTCTGTAGAGGGGGGTGAAGAAAGGCTTCTCCTGAAAATATGCTCAGGGTTTTCTGTACCAGAAATCTTCAATGCATCTGAAGTATAGAAACAAAAGTTACACAAATACAAGGGAGTCACTAATGAAATAAGTTTCACTGAGAGCAAGAACCTCCCAAAAACCACTACCAAAATCTAACATATAGACTTTAATACATTCTAAAACACCAGTGTTAAACATTACATTTAAACCAGTCTTCTGTTTTTAATTATTTTTTCCTCTGAATTTGGACAGACAAATTCAGTTCATGCTGTTTTCCTAGGTTAGGCTTCCATACCAGCACTGCATCACAAAAGCCTGCTTCGCTATTACCTACAGTACAGAATTTTTGCAGCTTCTCCTATGGGGTCAACATTAGACACCACTTTTTATTTCTTTCTCCCACCCCCAGTATCCTTAGCAGCACAGTAATAATCTCTTAAAAAGCTAAGGTTTATCCAAAGACTTCAAACCTGAAATTGATCAGTTAAGACAAAGCTTAGCTACTCTGATCAAATAAAAAACCTCTGACAAATAGCACAACAACCACAAAGCAGCACAAATTACTACCCATTTCCAGAAACATTACCCATTTCTGATGCTTCCCCAGCTTTCTCAAACTTCTCTCCACGCTCCTCCTCTGATACATTGGACATTTGTCTTTTTACTGCTTTACTTGAACTTCCTCCAGATGTGACACTTGCCACAGAGACCAGTGGGATAGCTTGGTTCTGCTGCAAAAAGCAAGGTGAAAACACAAACATAAACACCCAGCCCACTGCTTCCACTTGCCTTGCAAGACAGATGTGCAGAAAATACCATCTTACTATGACTGCACAGGTATACTAAGGATACATTTCAACCTTTCCTACTTCAGACACCTATTTTAAAATAGCTTTTAAGCTACATTCACAGTTCCCTTTTACTTAAGTCACTATCCCATATATCATGAAAGCTTATTACAGGGAAAGCTATATTCCAATTAACTAGACAGTGCTTCTGAAAGCACACTGGGAAGAACACAGCTCTCCATCAGAGGAGCAGAAGAATCTGCTCAATTTCCAGTCACTGTGATCTGTTAATGAGGCAAGAAGTCCAGGAAACACAGCCTTGACAACCTCAGGTAGGTAAAGTGACCCCTGTGGGTTGAGCCCATGTGCTAAGGAAATCAAGAAAAACTATAATGGATATCAACTTGGTATTCCGTTGTTAAAAACCAAGATACCAGCTGAGGGAGTTTTTGTTCATTTTCTTTCACAGATATGTGATCAACCTCGTTCCAGTCTTCAAAAAATACCCCTTCACATACTTCAGAGCTATGGTTTGGCAATTATTTGTCATAAGATATTATGCTGTAAATTATGTAAACTACAGAGTCTGTTTGAGATATGCAGTGATACTACATCAGTCTCACAAGCAACTTCATTTTCAAGATATCATCTAGGCAGCTATTAGAACTATGACAAGTTGAAGTGTCTCAATAACATTAAGACAGGTCAGGACTTGCTGAAATGTACTGATGTACAGAAGCAGAAGTGAGACACTTCTTCCAACTTTTTAAGTTTTACCCATCCACCCCTAAGCACCACACAGGATACATTTTATGGGCTGGTTACCTTCCCTCTCAGATACTGAATAATTAAAATAACATGCAATATTCACTTGATAATCTTCTGAAACAAGCAAAACCTCCCTATGCCACTGACAGGCATAATAACAGCAAATAAAATGTACCCCAAACTTACACAATTGAAGAGTTCAGTAGTCAGCCCAAGGTAGTTGTGCAAGGCAAGGAATGTCACCCTCTGCAGCCTCACCATGATGATCTAGAAATGGAAAATCAAAGGCAGTAGGAATGGTTTCAATATTCTCCCACATTCATTCTTGCATTTAGATACCCTCAATAGCATCAGACTACTTGAAGGCACTTTCAAACAAACCACAGACTGCTCCGTAAGCAATAAGAGCTGAAATTCCTTCTTAGCAGGTGACAAATTAAGGCAAATTAAGATAAAAGCTATTTACCAAAGGCTTAACAGTCACTTGACAGAAAAAGTGAAGTAACAAACAGAAAAATCTTCCAAACACCAAATACCACTTTTCATTTTTTCCTGTAAACATCAGTAACAAACATGCCTTGAAATTAAAGCTTTCTGTATTTCTGTATTAAAAAACAAAGTTATTTCAGCTTTGTCTGTTAAAAAAAACCTGTGCTGCAGCTCAGCAAACACTAAACTGGCATAAGACACCACTGCCACCTCGCTTTCATCTGCTCTGACAGCTTATCCCTGTTCTTCTGCCATTCCCTCTTTGGTATCAGCTCTCATGAAGCAAATAAAATTGGTACAATGATCTGTTCTGCCACCAGTATTATGAGGTTCACAGACCACAGGTAAATCACCTGGATATCAGAACAGTTTACAACAGCAAAAGGAATTAACAGTCACAGTAAAGCAAAAGAACAGATCAGAATGACCACATGCATCCCTTACACCACCACTCAGCAAACTCTAAAACCAAAACACTCCCACACAGCATCTTGCCCCTGCTCTAGTTTCCACCTGCAGGTGTATGGCAGCTCTGCAGTACTCGCTTAAGACCAACAAAGTTCCTGCAAGGCAAGTGAAGCTTCAAACACTAATACAAATAGCTCTTTCCTGAGCTGCTGACAATTGCTTCTGAAGCAGGCATTCACATCAGACTGAATACCATTGGCTTTGCAAAGCACCACCACTCTGTAAAGCTGTTTGTTGCGGATTGTGGCCCTTTTTTTTCAGAATATAAAATTGCTTTCCATGCTGTAAGTCATACAGTATGTGTGTTAGTTACTTCTTCTTGTAACTATACAGCTCTAGGAATGGGAAGAATAGCAAAGCTAGCCCAGATCTTGAGAAGAAGTTACACTGAACAGTTCCATATCTGCAAAACGATGAGCTTTTGCTGAACCTTAAAATATCTTCCCCATAACAAAATTACAGTGAGGAGTTCTGTTTCAATTTCGTTGGGTTCGGTTTAAAATCTGCTTAGCAGTGAAACTTACCTGTACCACTCTAACAAGGGTTTCAGGATATTTCTGGAAGATATCTTGAAAGGCACTTGCTGGCAGTCGCAGTATATTGGATGGAGTGGCTGCCCGGGCTGAGACTGTTTTGTATGGAGCAGGGTGACCCTAATGGAAAGTTGCAGAGCCATAAGTTAATTCCACTGATTCCCTGTCTCATTTCTTCCTAATTGCTTCCCAAATTTCTCCTTTGATATTGCACATCCCTGGGAGACACCACCTGAGCACAAACAGCCCTGACCTCCTGCCCTGTGCCCTCCAGTTGCTGTAATGAGGGCACCATGGTCAGGTGAATTCACACAGGCAATTTCACCAGCACTACACTGAGGGAGAGGAAATAAGAGCTACAAGGAGGTGTATCAGGTTAAGAAGATCTGGCTTGTCTGTCTCTCAAGTCTGTTACAGTTTTATTGAAGGCAAAGCCAGGCTTCAAGCTTTGTTACATACAGAATGGAATATGGCCAATAAACAACACAAAACAGGCAGACTTCTTGTGTTCTAAATAAATAAATACATATGTATGAAATATTCCAAATGACAAAGCCAAACAGCTTCTGTGCATTTCAGATGAATTGGGTCTAGGCCGTTCTGCCTTAAGAGAAGAAAAGATGGATGAACAAACCAACAAAAGATAGAACTCTAAGCACTCTATCTAGAATGCAGAGGTTTTTGTTCTGGAAGACAAACCTGTGGTTTAGGATTTCTCTCTCTTTAATCAGAACAGACGTTCACCAAAACCTACTGGCAAATACTTGCATGGAACTTCCCACACAACATTCCTTGCACCCTATCAATAAACACTGAGAAGAGTATCTGGCACCCATTCATTCATTTTCCAATCAAAGAAGCACTGATTTATCTAATATTTGTAAGGTAGAAGCAGCCCTGTAGGCACTGAACAGCCAAATACAGTTACTGCAAAAGAATTTTTGCCTTAAGAATATGGGAACAGCAAAGCAGCTGCTGCAGAAAATAACACTACAGCTCTGCCTTGCTGGTCTGGAAGCCACGATGAAGCAGATTCTAAAATTAAATTAAATTAATTGGAACCAATTTCTTAATTACGCCAACTTCAGCTGACCTTTTTGTAAAATCTGGGGATGGTATTAATAGATTTGATTTTTGAGTTCTGGAGGGATTTGCAGTTTTAAATATCTCTATGATCTACAGTTTAGAGCTACAAGGTTTTTCCCAGTTCGTCTCAGTTTCTTCTGATTAAAATAAAGAAATTAGCAAATGACATTTCTGTGCTGTCTCTATATCCAAAATAAACATAACATCCCTCTTCCACACAGCCCAGCTTTTCAACAATGCCATCCTTTGGAATTCCTCTTATACTAAAAAGTAAAAGAAATATACATACAACATCCTTATATTCTACATACAAATTTTGATTTTAAATACAGATTCTCCACCAACTGGATTTTCTACCACGCTCTGCCAAACACACAGTGAAAAACTAAAGGCATCTTTTCAATCTTCAGTTGTTGGACAAAGGGTGAGCACGAATCCTAGAATGGCCTGGGTTGAAAAGGACCACAATGCTCATCTAGATTCAACCCCCTGCTGTGTGCAGGTCACCAACCAGCAGCCCAGGCTGCCCAGAGCCACATCCAGCCTGGCCTTGAATGCCTGCAGGGATGGGGCATCCACAGCCTCCTTGGGCAACCTGTTCCAGTGCCTCACCACCTTCTGGGTGAAAAACTTCCTCCTAATATCCAGCCTAAACCTCCCCTGTCTCAGTTTAAAACCATTCCCCCTTGTTTGTGAAGTTTAATAGTGTCCCAGAACTGTTACTAAAAGGGCAAAATAAGCACCTTGCACGTCAATAAGGTCCACACTCCACCCAGAGAAGGCTTTTTTTTTTTCCCCTCCCTGAGCAGTGCTTGCTGGAGAACAGAGCAGTGCTGACAGTCGTTGAGAAAAGCAGTTTAAGGATAATAACAGATAATGATGCAGCAGCCCTTTCCTCCAAAGAACAGCCCACCCCAACTGATTTTCAGCATATAATTGTTCCTTTTCCAGAACCCTGTGTGAGAGCAGCCTGCTTTTGAGAGAGCCAAGCACCATGTCTAATAGGGCTGGGATGTGCTAAAAGCTGTCAGAGGAGTGGAAAGAGGAAATGTACCTGTAATTGTCAGTTCTCTCCAACACAGCATAATCAGCCACACGGAGAATACTGCGTTTAAATTACACAGCTTCACATTCCTTGCAGCCTCCATGTGTGACTGTAAGGCATACTCCACAGTGAATTGGGTTTGGGCTGTTTGGGCTGTCTTTTAAACAGGGAACTTTTTGTTCTCGAAGCAGATAACTGTTTACATCTGCCTGTTCTAAGAGCTGTAGAGTAATTCAACACTGCAGGTGACAAAAGCCAAGCTAAAGCAGCAGCTAAATCTAGATGACATCCAAGGGTCAAAGTAAGTCACACAGTGCCATAAGATCTCCCCCTAGAAATGACAGCTCATTTTTGTACCCAAAAAATACGGCACATTCTTCCTACTCCCATTGCTTACATTTCACCTTTCACCAGACTGCACTGGCACTGCTGTTCCAAAGTTCTTGCTACAATCGTTTCTTTATAACCTCATTTATCTTACCTTCTGTCCATTAAGGGACTTGAGCCCTGCAGGCTCACATTCATCCGAGCAATTTTCTGCATTTTCTGTTAGTCCTCAGACTTTCATTTTTCCCCCTGCTCACTCACTGGCAATTGATCAAATCTACCTCTCTCTCATTCCAACTACACCACCAGCTCACACTTTTCCAAATGCCATCTCTACACAGAAGATAGAAGAAGAGTAAACCAAGACCCCAGTGGCCAAACACAGCCACTATTTGGCCCATTCAGCTCTGAAAGAAAACTCATAGTTCATCCATCAGGTAACAGAACGCAGGGACAAGCAAAGGGGCAGGGTGAGGGCTCAGCCACAGCTTCTAAAAACACTCCGAGTTCGCAGGCTTCAGTATTTAAGGCCATATCCATGCAGAGTCAGATTCAACTATGACAGAATTGTTCTAAAACCTCACAAACAGGACTAGCATCTACCCAGACTCAGTTCTCCAGTTTCTCCTTTGAGTTTTGAGAAATCAACATTTCTCTGTTCTCAGAATAAGTGACATACAGAACAAATCTTGAGTCTGAGCTGGTATTTTTGTACTTAGTAGATCTAAGGGGATGCTGCAATTTAAAACTTGGTTAATGGGAAAATTACTTCTTATGTACTCTGCCTCTGGGTCTACAGCACATCACCGCTTCTAACTTTCTTGCACATCTTCCAGCTAAGTGAGGGGACAAGGCTGGCGTTACAAGTCACAGAAACAGTTACAGAAATCACCAATTCAGCTCAGACAACACAAAGTCCATGTGTTTGGTGGCACAGTGAAACTTCAGGGCAGGAAGTTCTGAGACTCACTGAACACCTCAGAATGCCACAGACAAGACTCCTCTCTTTTGACCAGTGCTACTTTCTCTCTCCTTGCCCATTTTCTTGCTGTTTGTATATCCAGAGTCAATAAGGAGGATGAAAAACAAAAATAAAACCACCAATACACAAAGCAGGGAAACAAAGAAGAAAAGAGGGAGCTGTAGAAATCAATGAGAACAAGTTCCTTTAGAACAAAAGTCTGCAAGGTTCTTGGGTTTATATTCTGCACAAAGACAGTTCCTTTTAACATACTTCCAGTAAGTTTTATACCCTGATTCATCAGCAGTGTAACTATTGAGAATGCAGTAAAAATGACAGAATAAGAATAAAAACAGACAAATGAATGGCAACCACCCTGATTTAAACTGAAACTAAAGAACAGAAAAGTAAATGGAAGAAATCAGATTAAATCCTTGTGTAAGAAAAACACAGCAAAAGAACACGACTAATATTTGTGTTTTATGTGATGGTCCTCCTCCTTAGAATACTGCCCTTAAGGAAATTTACTGCTGCAACTAACAAGGGCAAAGACACCTCTGGATCTGCAATTAACATAGGTTTGATAGCAAGAACCAGACTTGTACAGTTCAAATTACTCCCATGCCATTGCTTTCTACAAAACAAAGCGTGACCAAGCCTAACAATTGTGCACCAATGTCAATAGGTTCTATAGAAATTTTTACTGATATATTGGTATATGTTTGTGTGTACATGTTATATCTACTTCCATCTTCAAGTGGCAATAAACACTTTACAGAATTATTACAACCAATACATACCACAGTGGTACTGTTTAATGACAGGAAGCAGACAAATAAAAAAGAAACATGATAAAAGGTCAAATCATAGAATGGTTTGGGTTGGAAAGGAAGTTTAAGATCATCCATTTCCAACCCCCTGCTATATGCAGGGACACCTCCCATTAGATCAGGTTGCTCACAGCCCCATCCAGCCTGGCCTTGAGTGCTTCCATGGAGGGGGCATCCACAGCCCCACTGGGCAACTAATTCCAGAGTCTCACCACTCTCACAGTAAAGAATTTCTTTCTGATGTCTATCTAGGTCTACCCTCTTCCAATTTAAAATCACTTCCCCTCATCCTGTCACTAACAATATGAAGAATTTGTTTATTAGATTCTTTTCATCTCAGCTATCAACACCTTCCAAATAAACACTCAAGTGCTTCTGTGTTATTGATCATGATGAATCCACCACTTTCAGTTCAGGCATTCCTAAATAAGATACAGTGACAATTCAGAAAACTCATAGCTGTAAATGCATCTGAAACAAAACCCACACCAATAATTTGTGCAATATATAGGAGCAGCCAGCACTTAACTCATCTTGCTGCATGCCAAAGAGCACAACCTTCAGGTGGTGACCAGCAACATTAACATATTAGGAAAAAATTAAATCCATCAACCCGTTTCACAGCCTAATTACAATAATATCAACTGTCAGATTTGTTTTCATTAGAGCAGATAAATTCAGTCAGTGATAAATCAAACTGCCTAAAAGCTAGGAATTCTGGGCCCTAACCTGGTCCTTCTCCTGACTCCTTTGCAACCTTGAACAAATCAAATTCTATCTCATTTTTTCCAGCCACAAACAAATAACTGGTTACATGAAAAGCTGCTGAGATCCAGTCAGTGATACACTGAAAGGAGAAAAAGGACTGGTGAAAAAACATTTGTCATTCTGACCCTTTCAAAGTGGACTTTCCCTCCCCACAGTAGGCTCAGCAACATAAAGCAGCAGTGCAGAAAACTGGCACGTGGAAGGACTTACCGTGATGACATCTAGAATGCTGAGAAGACTGTGGACACTGTCTCCTGCCAGCACCTCCTTAACAATCACTTCTGTGCCATCCTGTAAAGATAGAATAGATTACTATAGGCTCACAGGTGTGTATATGTGGCAGCTCTAACATGCATGGTCCCCCCCTTATAATCTGAACACGAGCCTTCTGTCTGCTCTGTGCTACATCACACCACCCTAGTTTTAAACCACCATTATAACAGATAGAAGTGATAAAGGAAATTTAAAGCCAGTTTTGCCTTGGGGTAGATGTAACCTGTTATTTGTGCTACATAACAATTAAAAATGAAAACAAAACTTTCTTCACGCTAAGAATTAGCTCCATTGATTGAGGAATTACATGCTGTCACATCTTTCCTGTAGGAGGAAGAAAAGGGTGAAAGCATTTTTCAATGCTTTTCGTTTCTTCACGTATCAACAGGAAGTATAACAGAAAAAGGAGCAAAACAAAAGTATATGCAGAAGTCACAAAATTTGAGATAAATTGCAAACAACAGCAAATGTATTTTCAGCTATAAAAACTAAAGTTAAACCTGAAAAAGTCAAGAAAAAAATTAAATATACACACACAAATTCAAGTTCACAAAACTTTGCAAGGGATTGCAAGGGTTTGCACCTAACATTCTAAGACTTGCCCAAAACACAATCTATCATTTCTTCTCCCTGTCTACCCAAAAGTGAATCAGGATCTGCCACGTTCCAGGCAACCCCCCCTAAGTAAGAGGCAAGAACATTCTGGAATGAAATACATGTGGTCTCTTCTACTGCCACCATCCTGTTTTGTATGCCTATTCTACATAAATGAGAACTTTTCCAACAATATGACAATTCAGCCTTGCACTCCAGTCTCCTGCAGTTACTATGCAACTAGGAGCACGTGAGGATAACTTACAAGAGTGAGCTAAACTTGCTCTATGTGAGATGTGTAGGACCACAGCTCAAAACGCTGACATTTATACATATCATGGCTCTTCACTAAATCACTCTGATTCAAAATTCACTTTAGCCAATGCTTAATGATTCATGCCAACATATGCTATGCTAACAGATGTAACTCAAGAACAATGGCTTGGTTCATTCTTACACTTTCTTGAACGCAAACTTCCAGCTTTCCATCTTGCACAACATAGATGCTGTTATCCAGCTGCCCAGGACGGAAGATGTATTCTCCTTCATGCAACTGCACAAAAAACATGTGCTTGCACAATTCCAGAAAAAGGGGCTTCTCAAAGTGACCAAGAACCCTGCAGGAAAGAGAAGTAAATATTAGCTTTTTTTCTCCTTTTTTTGCAAAGGGAAAACCCATCCTTAATCAGCACAGCCCTCATGGAAGGCCCCAGAGGAAGCTGTAGCATGGCAATGCAACAGCAGGGTGACAGGAACAAAAGTCCCCAGGGCAAAAGTGCAACAACACAGTGAAATGCTGGAACCTGTAAATGTCACAGCTCCTTCTTGAGCAGCACATGGAGTAATGCCAGCAGGCTCAGAAGGAAGTATATCTAGTCCTCCTCAAGAAAATACCAGCGTGGCTTATGAAGGCTAAGAAACATAAAAACCTACAACAGATTCACATACTGGATGAGCAAAGTTACCCTTTGGAGCTTTCTCTTTTAGCCCAGCTACCCCAGTAATGCAACCAGAACATATGAGAAAAACTGCAGAATAAATGAGAAGAAAATCCCATCACTGTATCCATGTAAATGTGACTATACCATCTCCTGCAGGCAACAGGCAACCAGACTCCTGCAACACTGGACTAGTTAGTGAGTACCAGGCAGACAGAAACACCCTTCTTAAGCCTCAGCATTCTGTACACAACACCACAAGTGTCCTCCACGTAGTTCCATCAGCTCACAATTAACAGAATCAATCAATCAAATCATCCTGCAACATCGATTAGTCATAGAATATCAGAATTCCACAGGAGAAACTTTAGGTGACATAAATAGTAATTTTATTAGACTACTAAAGTGTCCAATTTAGTCCTGAAGGTTATAACTAATTAGATCAGAAGAGGAAAATAATTAACATATACAAAAGTCTAACATCTGAAAACCTCATACTTTCTGCCTTGTCAGTGATTTCAATACTGGATTGAATTGAATCACAGAATGGCCTGGGTTGAAAAGGACCACAGTGCTCATCCAGTTCCAACCCCCTGCTGTGTGCAGGTCACCAACCAGCAGCCCAGGCTGCCCAGAGCCACATCCAGCCTGGCCTTGAATGCCTCCAGGGATGGGGCATCCACAGCCTCCTTGGGCAACCTGTTCAGTGCCTCACCAGCATCTGGCTGAAAAACTTCCTCCTAGTATCCAGCCTAAACCTCCCCTGTCTCAGTTTAAGACCATTCCCCCTCGTCCTACCACTATCCACCCTCATAAACAGCCATTCCCCCTCCTGTTTATATACACTCCCTTCAAGTACAGGAAGACCACAATGAGGTCTCCCTGCAGCCTTCTCCAAGCTAAACAAGCCCAGTTCCCTCACCCCTTCCTCACAGGAGAGGTGCTCCAGCCCTCTGATCATCTTAGTGAGCCTCCTTTGGACCCACTGCAAAAGCTCTGCATCTTTCTTGCACTAGGGGCCCCAGGCCTGGATGCAGTACTTGTGTGGGACTTGTTCCACTGTTACAATGGGAAAGAATCTGCTCCTCTCACTCATACCCAAAGGTTCAGGGTCCTGGCAGACATGGAGTCCACCAGTGAAGACTGAGGCAAAACACTCATCAGGTACCTCAGCTTTCTCCATGTCTGAGGAGGCTCTCCGTTCTCATTTATCAGAGGGGGAACACTCCCTGAACTGACACAAAGACCATCCTTTCCTCTCATCCCTTCAAAGGGCCTTGGGAATTATGCTGACTTTGGTTCTCTTTCTAACATTTTTCAGCTAGAGAAGTAAAAAATTCAGAAAGCTATCAATATCATAGCTAATTATTATTTACCTATTGTGAATATTTCCTTACCAAAAAATAGTCAGAAATTGTCTAAAGGAAATTTTAAGAATGTACTAACAGAAATCGGTTCAAGTTAGTAAAGCTTTATCACTATACCTCCAAATTTAGGCACTAAACTGCCTCATTGTCTCCTTCCCTCCCTTCCACCTCATCTATTTGTGCTTATTCACTCTGACCATACTGTGATAAAATTCAAGGCTTGACATGTGGTAGAAAACATTTATATAAGTTGAATAGCCATTAAAAGCAAAACCTAAACCTACATTCCCATTTAACATTACCTAACATTTTTAAGCATGTAAAGGACTTCTGATGGCAAATGAGAATTCTTTACATCAAATTCTGTCAGGTCTGCCTCTAGCAGAGAGGGAGGTGGCTCTTTTGGCTGCAGAGTTGGACATTCTTTCTTAATACGCAGAAACCTACAAGGGAAAACAATGAAAGTTCAGGATGGCATCCTATCTGTCTGTATATTGACACCATAGGTTGACTGCAAGACACACTGCACTGTTACACATTATCAAGCAGATAAACAGTAGTATTCCAGCCCCCAACTGCTCTTTTTGTGCCTTTCTTCAGCAAAACTAGAGACAGTGCTTAGTGTGAATTCTCCCCTTCCCCAAAGCCCAAGTACCTTTTAGCCAAACTTAAAACTTTGGCCCGTTTCCTCATCCTTTGGCGAGGCACAGTGTTCCCAACCAGAGTGTTGGGAAGAGTTGAAACCTAGGACGAAATAGTAAAAGCAGAAACATTCACTAAAACCAAACAATAAAAACCATTGCTTCAACCCTGCAAGGGATTTGACCTCTCTACCAGGTCATCAGAACACTGGCAGAGTGAAGCATTCCTATCAGCCTTTGAAGGAATGGAACAACACCTACTCCAGGATCACTTTCCTTCTAGACAGAAAGTGGCATATGTTTTAATCTTGATAAACAACTGCTACAATCATAATGGATGGTGGTGGGGGAAAAACCAACACCGTAGCTATACATCTCCCACTCAGAAACACTCAACATGAGGCAGAGAAATTTAAAGCTCCAGCATTCCTATGGCAGGCTATGCAGTACTCCTATGCAGCAAGCCTTTTAACATGCTTTTCACTGTAACTAAGTGCCACCTTCTGGAGAACTGCAACAGCTGCAAGATCAAGCATTGCTATTTCTCCCACCAAAAGAAAGAAAATAATCTTTACTCAAATAGTTTGGAGACATTCCTCTCACCCTTTTTACCAGAAACACACTTAGTGTTTTGCTGTAAAACTGATGTTTTCAATACCAATATCCTATGTCTTCTTTAGGAGAGAGAAAGGCAAAGTTCAACCTCGCCTCTACCCCCTTCATTTACCCTCCCCCCCAAAAAAAGGATTTTACCATGTGAAATTCTAGGGAGCTTTTATGCTGTATGTAAATAACTGTATTAGAGAATATGAAAATTATTAAATTAAGAATTTATGAAATACAACCCAAGAACAATTTAAAAAACAGCACTGTGACCAATTACTGAGCCCAAATATTTGAATTCGTTTCTACAAAGTCTTGGGGTGAGCACACAGCTGTGCTCAGGCAGGCTACCCCACTTGAGACAGTGAGGGTGCCCTCAAACCTGCTCTGCCCAGAGGGACTCTTTGGGACCCACTCCTGCACCACAGCTCCTCAGGGTTAAGGACTCCACTGGACCCACACCTTGATTCTGACCCCACAGGACAGCAGGCAGGGAGCACATACTGCAGTCAGGATTAAACAGCCTTTTTCTTTCACCAACCATTTGTACCTGACCATAAGCAAGCAATAACCATGGGTTTACGACACAGACTTTTGTATACAGTGTTGAGGAAGGAAGTCACCTTGATCCCCAGGTCCTATTGCACTAGCTTTCATGAAAGCCAAACACATCACCTCTGCACTCATATGAACATTCATTCCATTCTTTTGACCACGGTGAGACTTTCTATCACATTCAGCATGCGCTTCAAGGGAAGCTTGTATTTTGGGAATACAGGAATATTAGTCTCCTCCATTATCTGAAATCCAGACCACCAGTGGAAAAAACGTAGCATACCAAGCATGCCTACTTAGACTAACCTAATTCATGACAGGAAATGTCTGTTCTCAAACCCTGTTACAATTTCTTTAAAGATTTAATCAGCCTGACTCAAACTAGAGCCCACACAGAAACAGATTTCTGACCCAATGGAAAATCCAAGGCAATCTTCTAGGGACTGCAACATTATCAGGACAAAAAAATTGAGTGCACAGGCAGCATTCCTTGTTGCAGCCTAAGGGAATGTTCAATCATTGGACAAATCCCCCTTGAACAACCTCTAATTACAGTTTTACACGTCCTGTTTGCAACTCAAGAAACAAGTACTCATATGCTGAAGCGCTTTATAGAGATAGTCTACAGAAAGACAAATTTGAGTATGTGCTCTTCAGACAGACTGGTTGTTTCCTAACATAGGAAAGACTAGGTCAGCTTCCTATGTAAAGGCAGTACTGGAAGTTGTTATCCAAGGGCAATCCTAAATGCAGGCACTAAATGCCTTGAATATAATCCTAAGTGCAGAAAAAGGAAGATTATTATAGACAAATCATTTATCATCAATTCAATAGAGAAGTGATGAATCAAAGAATAACCATCCTCAATGTCTGCAGATATGTTTGAAAGGAATAATTCCAGGAGATCTGAAACATCCCGAAACAGGTCGAAAGCCTTGGGTCAAATTAAGCAACAGAAGTATTTCAAGTTTTACCAAACCTCCTCAACAGGATTTTAATCTTTACTTCCTTCCCCCCATGCCAAACATTCTTACCTTTCTCATGATCTTCCGCCCATAGAACATCACTTTGTCTCGCTTGCGAAATCTGTATTGACGACCATGTGGCTGAAGTTGTTCTAAAACAACAAAGAGCTTCATGTCAGAAACCACCTCAGTACCTCAGCAAATTTACAAAGGACACCAAATTGTGTGCAGCAGTTGACACAACAGAAGAAAGGAATGCCGTCCAATTGATCTGGTCAGGTTTGAGAAGTTGGTCCACATGAAACTAATGAGGTTCAACAGGGCCAAGAGCGAGGGACTGCACCTGGGCTGGGGCAATCCCAGACATGAGCACAAGACTGGGAGAAGAACTCCATAAGAGCAGCCCTGTGGAGAAGGACTTGGAGGTCCTGGTGAAGGAAAAGCTGGACATGAGCAGCAGTGTGTGCTGGCAGCCTGGAAGGCCGGCATCCTGGACTGCATCAGCAGAGGGGTGGCAGCAGGGTAGGAAGAGGACAATCTCCCTCTGCTCTGCCTTCATGAGGACCCACCTGCAATGATGTGGCCACACCTGGGGCCCCAAGCATAAAAAAGAAGTGCAGCTGTTGGAGTGGGTCCAGATGACGACCAGAGAGCTGCAGAATTTATCCTACAAAGAGAGGCTGAGGGTGTTCAGCCTGGACAAGGATCTGTGGAGGCCTCACTGTTGCCTTTTGATACTTGAAGGGAGCGATGGAAACTGACTTTTTACATGAGCAGATAGTGACAGGATGAGGGGAATAATTTTAAAAGAAAAGAGTAGAGATTTAGGTTAGATGTGAGGGGGAAATTCTTGACCCAGAGGGCAGTGAAGCGCCAGCACTGCTGCCCAGAGCTGTGGCTGCCCATCCCTGGAAGTGCCCCAGGCCATGGATGGGCCCTGGGAAGCCTGAGCAGGAGTGGGGCTGGGGGCTGTGAGGTCCCTCCAAGCCAAACCATTCTTTGGTTCTATGATTCCACACCTTTATGCTAAGGGGAAAGAAGACTAAGCAGAAGTTATCAATTTTGCTACTTCCAAAATAGCAAGAGTTCCCACCTACTAAAGAGCAAGCTGTTATGGCCAGCACTTAGAAATCAAACCAGCACAAGGCACCTCATTATCCAAGTCTGGTTAAGCCAAGCCAGACTAAGGAAGAGCTGGCTTAAGGCTCTATCTAATCACTGGAGGAGATGAAAAGGCTCTCTAAGCAGGCAGTGGAATCAAGTGACTTTAATCTCACTAAAGGAAACCAACAATCTGCCTGCATCTTGTAACAGCAGGCTTGAAATTATTTCCAAGCCAACTGATACGAAAGCTATCACACAGCAGAGAAACAAAAGTCTCCAAACGTCCTGCACATGGCAGTCATGAATTCTGTATTTAATGACTCAATTCAGAACATAAGTTCTTCATCTTTTTAAAGTTCTTTTCCCAGGAAACTGCTACCAAAACAGCAAGCAATTATTATGAATTGGCACAGAACCCACCACGTAACATTACAAAAATACTGAAGATAACACACTGAGAAGAAGCTTTTTAGGAGTGACACAGAAGTTGAGTACTTACTGGATTGTTTCACTCTTCTGTAAATGACGAACACAACAATTCCTATCAGGAACAGTGCAACTGCAGCTCCAATGGCAATTCCAGTCAGCTGTGAGAGGAATTCATAGGAAAAGAAATCTGTAACTTCCATAGTTGAAAGCTATTTTTAATTTTTGTAGGGCTGAAAAACACTTAACTCAGTTGCCTGAACAACAAACGCATTCATAAATACTTCAGTTTTAACTAAAACATCACACACATGAAAAGTTTAAATTTAACTATATCAGTGTCATGTTTATAAGCTCAGATGCAAAATATTCAGCACTTTACCCCCCAAATACCTGTGAATTGAAAACTAAATATGCATGAGATTAAATAATAGAAATTAGTTCCTGCCTCATGCACAGCAACTGCAAAAAAGCAAGAACTCCTCTCAGTTTACTCAGGCTTTGATTGTGACTTAATAGAGTTCCTGGAGCTGACCAGCAGGTACACACTACTTAGCACACAGTTTTCATCCAGTTGATTAAAGCCACACATTACCATAGTACTCTGTATTCTGTCTTCTACAAACTGAAGAATTCCACTTGCTGGCATGGCCTAGCATGAAAAGGAAAGTGAAATTAGTTTCCCACAGCTGGCAAGAAGCCTCCATACAGACACCTATGCCCGGTCTGGCACACACAACACCACTTGGTTTGCAATGTCTTTCTTTCAGTTACCATTCGCTTTGAAAACAATGGTTTTTCAGTAGAAAGGGGTCAGGAGTGGAGTTCTATCTGGTGACAGTTCTACACAATCCTAAACAACCCTAATACAAGGTCAGACAGGGAGGTGTTGACTTCTGTTATGACTTTACGTTATCCAGAGCAAACGAACAAGAGCTGAATGTAAATGTTATGAGACTAAGAAAATAAACCAGAAAATTACAGATGAAATTCAGGATAAACAGTAAAGTTATGCACATGGGGAAAAGCTTTAACTCAGGTGTACAGCCCCAGAACCTGTGCTGACTGCTGCTATTCTGGACAAAAATCTGCACGTTGTAGAAATGCCAGCTCAAAATTTAGTGGAGTGCAGGGAAAAAAAAAATTAGCAAACCAAGCATTAGAAAGAAGTAGGAAACAAAATGAGTACAAGAACAGACATGTCACCCTGTAAGCCTCAAGCCTTACTTGAACCTTAAGTTCTGGAACCAGTTTTTGCTCTCAGTTCCAAATTCAGATGACCTCTTAATTTAGCTTTGTATCCTCAAGAAAAATGGAAGCGCCCACAGAGTCACCAAACCAGTCTCTCTCACAGAAGTTCATTCCAGGATCACAGGGCAAGCAGAGTCCAGCCTGGCCAGTCAGCATATGTGGAGTGAGTGTGTTTTCTTAGGTTGCTTTAACACAACCTACTAATCTATCTTCTCAGCATCGCTCCAACTATCAGTACTACCATCAGTGCTGGATAATTACTCGTGGAATTGCAGTGAAAAGTCACAAGAAAAAAAATGTTGAAAAGTTGCTAGCAACAAATACAGTGCTTTCTGGCTAAGCACAGAAAGATCTCATTGCAAGACTTTCATGGCCACTTGTTTGTTTCCCTCTGACAGCATCAGGAATAGGAATTCTGCCACTATCAGGGCACACGTGATCTCAAATAGCACAGAAAAGAGGAATTGCCCACTGACAGTCACAGCATTGTTCCCTGCGAGGAAATAAATTCACAACAGAAGCATGAAACACACAGGTGCACACACAGAGCCCGTGTCCCAGCCAGGAAGGCTGTAAGGGAAAGATAAAATCCAGAACTCCAAGGGGAACAGTGAAGCTTTTGGAAGGTTTGTTATCAAGACTAACCTGAACATTCCCACCTCAACATGGGTCAGAGTTCTGCAGGGAGTTCAAACACTGGTAGCATCCGAAGAGAGGCAGGGAAAGGCAGCAAATGGCTGGCAGCCACAGGGACACCTGCATGTGTCAGCAGCTGTTCACAATCAGACTGCACAAGGGCCAGTTGTGAGGCCACTAACACAGCAGAGCTGCAGGGCTACAGCACAAAGGGACGTCACACCCAGCACCTGTATTCCAGGGCCTCATGTGCTCCATCCAAGCCCTGACCAACTCTTAGAAACAAAACACACACTGAGCAACCCTGAGAAGACCCACACTTCACTGGAAAAAGACAAAATGATAGGCTGAGAGTATGTATTAGCAGGAATACTGTCTGTGTTTTCTAACGCTTGACTCCCATTTTCTTATCAAAACTGTGGCTGGTAACAAAAACATGCAGCTTTGAAATAACGCTTACACCCATCCAGATTACCAAGCACAGAACAAGCAACCAGGGCATGTACTCAAAAACTTCCCATTGCAATAAAAGGTAAACAGTGAGACATACCCCACACAGGGAGGGGTGCCAGGTGGTGATTGGCACAGCGCTCAGGAACTTACATGAGTGTTCCTCAGAATACAGACTTCCTCATGGCTCATAAGTACAGCTGACCACACGCTGTGACTTTGACCACAAATGCTGAATTTTCACAGAACATCTTTCATTTGCTTATCAGTATGCTGGATGCATCTTCTAGTTCTAAGAAAAGTATTTCCTGCTGTTGGCCTTGTCTGTTATTACTAGGAAAAGCAACATGTGTCTTAAAGAAGAATAAATGCAAGAGCTGAAGAACTCCTCGATCCTTCCATCTTCAGGCTAAAATCATAGCATTGAAGCAAAAGGTGCTTAAACTGTGTCATTCTGCTGACATGGGAGAATATGAAGCACCACGTGAATGGTTTGCAGTAAAGATAAGTAAATACACACAAAAAGTGGGACGAATCTTGACGTTTTTGGAAGGACTAAACGCTTATCAAGAAAGGCTCTGGAAAATAAAAGCAGTGTATCTGAAAACATTACCCAAAAGTTATCAAATTAGGCACTGTCCTGGTTTCAGCTGGGACAGAGTGGATTTTCATCATAGCATGTGATACAATGCTGTGTTTTGGCTTTAAGAGAAAGAAGCTGCTGATAGAACACTGATGTTTCAGTTGTTGCTGTGCAGTATGGAGCCAAGGATGCTTCAGCTCCTCACTGTGCCCTGTGAGGGGCTGGGAGGGGACAGGGCCAGGAGAGCTGACCTGAGCTGGCCCAGGACACGTCCCAAACCACACAGCACTGTGTGAGAACTACAAAACTGAGGGAGCTGGACAGGGGGCAGCTGAAGGGCTGCACAGCACTGAGCTGCAGCTGCATTAAGCCAACCACAGCACCTATGTTAGCTTTCTGGAAATGCTAAAAGAGAAATGAAGATGTGAAAAACAGCATCAGATCACTTCGTACCTCAAGGCTGGTGCCGTTGCCTTCTTCTTCCATGGCTGGAGGTGCAGCAGAAGGGAAAAAAAGAGGAAAAACGACCGTTAAGAGACGACAGCAACCCAGACTGATTTTCCAACGCACGGCAGCCGCCGACCCGCGGGAAGCAGCCCGTGCTGAGGAGGGCTGCGCTCCGTCAGCGCTCCGCTCCCCCCGCTCCCATCTCCGCAGCCCAACGCCGCTCTGACAAACCCGCTCCCGCCCGAGGCGCGGCCCGCCGGTGGAGGGGAGTTACCACACGGACCCGCCGGTCCAACCGGACGCCGCGGGGAGACCGGCTCAGCCCGGACGGACCCGAACCACCGCCGAACCCCCGTCCCCTCACCCGTTGCTATAGCAGCGGCCGCCGCGGCGCTTCCACACGGGGGTCAAAGGTCAGCCGCGCAGCGGGGGCGAAGGTCGCATCCCTGCACCCACCGCCGCCAGCGCCGAGCGGGGCGCCGAGCCCCGCCCACTCTCCCCTCGTTGCTGATTGGCGCACACGGCTTCGCGCCGAGTGGTCCGCGGCCAGCACGGCCTAAGATAGGCGCTGCGGATTGGCTAACGCGCTTCTACCAATAGGAGCGGGCGGTGTTGCGGTGTGGGAGCCAGGCGGACCGGGCCTGCTGCCGCTCTGCCGGCTGCCGCTCTGCCGGCTGCCCGTCCGTCCCTCCGTCCATCCTCTCGGGGCCCGCAGGCGCTCGCCATGGGGCTGCTAACCGAGCTGGCCCGCGGGCTGGTGCGGGGCGCCGACCGCATGTCCCCGTTCACCAGCAAGCGCGGCCCTCGGTCCTACAACAAGGGCCGGGGAGCCAAGAAGATTGGCGTGCTGACCTCCAACAAGAAGTTCATCCTCATCAAGCAGATGGTGCCTCAGTTCGTCGTCCCCGAGCTGGCGGGCTTTAAGCTGAAGCCCTACGTGTCGTACCGCGCTCCGCACGGCTCGGAGCCGCCCATGACGGCCAAGCAGCTCTTCACCGAGGTGGTGGCACCGCGCATCGAGAAGGACGTGAAGGAGGGAACCTTCGACCCAAACGCGCTGGAGAAGTACGGCTTCGAGCCGACGCAGGAGGGGAAGCTCTTCCAGCTCTTCCCCAAGAATTACGTGCGCTAGGGGGCAGGCGGGGCTGCGTTGCGAGAGACTTGGACTGCACCTGCGGCTCGGGACGGTTTCTTTCGCTGAGTATTAAATGCAAGTCCTTCCAGTGTATCTTTCTGCAGTGTCCGATTTAAATCGCTACGGGGGAACCCGTTTCCTGTCAGAGATCAAGGAAGGTGTTGGTTTTGTTTGCACTGTTGCACTGTGTGGCTGTGCAGGTGTCCTGCTGTCAGAGCAGAGCTGCTGAGCCCACACGGGGAGCTGCAGGATTCTGGCTCCAGGCTGCTCCTGACTTCCAGGAACAGGGGAGGAAGGCTCTGCCTCTGGGATTTCCTGGCTGTGGAAGGAGCTGCTTGGAGCTGATGTCTCATTGGTGCTGCCAGCGCCCTGCTGTTCAGCCAGAAGCAGAATACTTGAATTCACCCTAGCCAATCACAGAATGGCCAAGGTAGGAAGGGACCTCAAGGATCATGAATCTCCAACCCCATGCATTTGGCATGGGCTGTTCTGTCTAGCCAACATGAAGCCTTTCATGGGAAAGGCTTCCAACAAGGCCTTACTGTAAACTGAGCACAGATTAGTAGCTTAGATCAAACGTCACAGTTGTGGTATTTACCAAGGTTTAAAACTAGTGTTTTGAATTCAGTCAGGATGCAGTTAATAGTTACAATCAGTGCCTGTTCCTTAGCAGTGCAGCTGCTTCAAATGTCGAGGTAGCTGCTTACATTTGAAATACATCTTGGGGAAAAAAAAAATCACAATTTTTATCTTCCTGGAAAAGTGATGTCTTAGTATTCATCAAATGAATTATATACAAGCAACACTTACAGTTGTGTGCATCCGTTTAAAGTGGAAATAACTACAGTCAAAAAAAGCTGTTGGAGATAATATGTTTGCCTCTGATAGACAAGTAAACCCCAGGGCTTATCTGCTCAGCCTTTCGGAGGCCAAACATAAACTGGGCTGGTACATGACAAGGCTGGCGCTCTTCAGGTGAGCTAAATGGCCATGATGGGAAGCAGGAAGAGTAAGCAGATGACTTTCATGGTGGAAGCAGTGGTGTTTCGCAGGACTTCATCCTACAATAAGTCACATAATAAAAACCTCTAGAGAAGGGAGAAAACAGTGCAACAAAGCATGCACATCCCTACTGATCATAGTTTGACACAGTGCATCACTCTGTCTTGGATCAGTATGGGTTGTAACACAACACAGGCTTTTTTGTTTAGTGATGGTAAACTCCAACCAACATGCAAAGGACCTCTAATAGAATCAAAACAACCAGGAAAGATCAATCACTTGCATTGATTTTTATTTAGAAACATCCAAAAATATGGTGATTTTTTTTTCAACAAAAGCTCTTGTTCACATTACTAGTATGAATGTAACAGCACTCAAGAAGGTTGTGGTTTTTTTTTTTTTAAATACACGTTCAACTTTGAAAAAGGAATTTCAAAGCAGTAAAATTTGTATCTGTTGTACCTCGCTTTAGATGCAGCACTGTTACAGATGCTTGTTGCTGGTGTTTCTTTTCCTCCAGGCAACTAATTCTTCAGGACTCTCAAAAACAAACCATGCAAGCTAGAAGTTCCTTACCTAGTTTAAGCTGTTTTGTTTTGTTTTCATTCTAGAAAGGTAATTAAGAACAGAGAGAAAGTGTTCCAGAAACGGTGTTTTGCTGATATTTCACAGTGAAAAACTGAAAGCTAATGAAGCAGCCATTCCTGGAGGTAGTTAGGGCAATGTTGCTCAAATTTTGGTTTCTGTAACTTACTTATTCTGAACTTAAAAGATGTTAGGAAACATTGCCTGTACTTTTGGAGGTTTTGTTCTTAAAGCTGTTCACCTTAAAACAAACAAACAAAAAAATCTGTAAGATCTGGACTTCAGACCTACATGTAAGTCTCACTATGGAGAACAGAAAAGATGAGCTGGATACCCAGAGCGTGTGGGGAAGGGGCTGGATGGGTTCAGTGTGGCACTAAGATATAAGCAGGGCTCACTACACATTTCTACTAAACCAATTTGTGCTTAGCGTGGAGAGCAATAAAATGAAATTGCATCCAGGTGATGAGTCTGAAGTAAAAATCAGTGTGCAGGCTCACCAGAAGCCTTACAAGAAAGGCCCTGTCAGAATGAAGCCTCCTACTGCTGAACTATTCTCTGTCCTTTCAGCCAGTCTGGATTTCTTTCTTAGAACTTCTCTTTATCGAAGATCATGGTAAGCACTGCACTGTCAGCATCTGGACTGTCTTTGATTGTCTTCTCAAAGTACAGACCAGTTTACAGATCATACAAGCAACATACACACTTAAGCCTCTACTCATGGGCTTTTTTTCTGAGAAATTCATGAAAACCTCTGATCACATACTGTGTTTGTCTACATGTAGTAGCACAGACAAGTCTGGTTTGTTTTGGAAGGAGGAAAATAGGCTTAACAGAGTAGTCATACAAATGCAAACCAGCTCTGAGGGGATTCAAATATACTGCACAAACAAGAAGCCTATAAAAGGAAGGCTGTCCTACTCTGATTTAGTACACTAAGGGAAAACTAAATAAACGTGTCTGTGCTTGACTACATTTCTCAAAGCAAAGGCTTTCCTCAGTGATGAAATTAAAACCATCAGGAAATTATTCCATCATTATTGGCCTTTAAAGATTCACAAACTCAACAATATGAATTGTAAAAAAAATATATATATGAGGGTGTTAGCTTAGATGCTAATGTCAGTACAGAAGCTTTCCTACCCCTTTACCTTGGGACTTGTCAGTGCCAACTTTCAGCTGTCCTTTCAGAAGGGGATCTAGTACTGGCCCTCTCTGAAGCGGTAGCCAGGTTCATTTCCCACTTCCAGACATGTAGAATATTATCATAGAAAGAACAAGTTGCTACAATGCTCGTCGCTTTTGAGCTGTCTGAAGACTTGACTGAATCACAACTGCCATCTAGGCCAATTCCATTGGATCTCTTAACTCCCAAGTCAGAACTGCTGGCTGACTCGGGACTGTCCCCTCGGTCAGCACCCCCATCCAAACCTGACCCCTCCTTTAAATCAGGTTTCCTACCCAGGTCAGGATCCCCAGAAAACTTGGGACCCTCCTCTGCTTTGAGCTGCAAGGCAGGGCCTTCACTGTCCTCATCCAGTATCACATCAAAAGTAGCTGTAGGAGACTCATAAATTATCTTCAGGTTTCGGACCTGCAAATTCAGTCTCTCATCTCCTTCCTCTGACCGTGCCACAGGCTGCTCCGAAGGCTGGCACACAGCAGCAGAGTCCTGTAGTGCAGCCAAGGAATCCCTTGGACACAGCCTTGACCAGTCAGCCCCATAGGCCAGAGAATTGTGCAAGACATAGGATGACAGGATGACACATTCCTCCATGTTTTCCGCTTTAAAAAACAAATAATGACATGAGCAGAAAGCAAGTTGTGACACAGTTTGTTGCTTACAAACCATTTCAGTATTGACCAAGCCATACAACAAGACCTGCTCTATCCCACTGTACTGGTTAACGCCTTCTTTACAACATTTAAGCACTGAGGAGGAACAAAGTACCCTGGCTCTTCTGACACTTCTTCAGCCACCTCCCACTAGCTTTGATTTTCCTCAGTTCAGTGAGCAGACAGAAAAGGGATTAATGTGCATGAGGTTTAAGAGCTTCATTATTCAAAATATATAAATAGGCTCAAGACAGATCATACAGTGATCCCAAATGAGCCAGAAATACGACTGCTAAGATTGCTAAGATTATTAATAACCAGGTTCTGGTTATTAATAAATTGCAGATGTGTCTTTCCCATGGACTTTCAGCATCTCACTCTGATATTAAATGCTACCAAGTTCCTCCCCTCCCTACACAGAAGAAATGAGATCCTCATTTCACAAGCTGTGGACCTGCACAAAGTCTGGAGAAACTCAGCAACACAACCATTTTATGCGTAATATATTTGTAATGTAAACGCAAACAGCTTTATGAACATGTAAATATCTTCTGATTCACATGGAGGGCTTGTTCACGCTATTCTAGATAAACCAGACTGCACAGCATTTCCTTTCTGAGGCAATAACCATTCACACACTGCATTCAGTTCTGGGCTCTCCAATACAAGGGAGACATGGCAGTATTGGAGAGCCCTGCAGAGGGCTACAGAGATGAAGGAGGGACTGTAGTATCTCTTATAAGAAAGAGCTGAGAGAGCTGTGCCTGTTTAGCCTGGAGAAGACTGAGATGGGATCTTATGAATGTGCACAAATATCTTAAGGAGGGGACTCAATGTATGGGGACAGACTCTTTTCAGTGGTGGTCCCAATGACAGGACAGGCAATGGGCACAAACTGAAATGCATGAAGTTCCCTCTGAATATGTGGAAAAATCTCTACTGCATGGGTGACAGAGCACAGGAACAGGTTGCCAGTGAGGCTGTGCAAGCTCCTTCTCTGGAGATACTCAAAACCTGCCTAGATGTGGCACTGTGCAACGTGCTCCACGTGTCCTTGCTCAAACAGGGGGTCGGACTAGGTGGTCTCCAGAGGTTCCTTCCAACTACACCAGCAGGTTAGTAACTCCTGCTGACAACAAAACATCACTTGATATTCACCTAACTTCTCTGAACCATCAAGATGAATACAAACCAGATCAAAGGTAATGCTTTATATCAAGATAAACAGGCTTCTCCCCATTAAGAGAAGTTACAAGAGATTTACGTATGATTAATGGCAGTGTCTTGGCACAAGCTGCTATGCCAATGCTGAGGATCTGTCTGGGAAAGCTGGAAGAGTTAATTTCAGTTGAAATAAATGTCTAAGGCTATAAACAACATCTGAATCTTTCTAGCAAGCTCAGAGCAGGAGCTTCCCCATTAACTTGGAGATAGGAAACGTGAGCAGCAGAGCAGTGTGAGAGCATCTCTGTTCCACTGAACACTCACCCATGCTTCCACGGCAGTCAAGGATCTTGAATCCACTCTGCATGCAGGCTGCTAACAGCACAAAATCACAGGTTGGATGCCATTTCAACCTCCAGACTCCACCTTCAACATGGGTGTCTGCCAGCGGCTGCTTCATGTTCCTGGTGTCCCACAGCAGCACGTGCTCATCATAGCTGGAAATG